CTAGTTGAGAGGGAATAACAGTAATTAAGGCATGTAAGTTAGGGCAGCTGGACGATTCTTACACGATTGAGAATGGGTAACAACTAACAACAGCCATCAGATAAAGCTTTCCGACATCTACTGACCCATTTAGTGGTACTTTGAGCTATTAACTGGCAACCAGACAGAGCATCTTCCCACTCACAAAGCTGTAAGAAAAAAATGTACCTTATTACATTGTCTGATGTTAACAGCACTATGTGGGGGTCCAGCATCTCACTTGGATACCAGGCAGCATGCTTTAGAGTCAGAGAGGTAGAACTGGTGAAAAATCTCTCAGCAACGGGAGTGGTGCTAAAATAAAGACAGCAATTTCCCAAAACCTGGATGAAAAAGCTTCTAAAGGAAAACCTATCTTAACACTCTTTGCTCTTCTTTCCTTCAAATTCCTTTCTTATAAATCTTGCTGAGACAGCGTTTAAAGCATCTACCAACCAACATCAAAGAATCAAAATTAAAATATTTTCTAAATTGTAGAGTATATTATACTGTACTTTACAAGTGATTTTAGATACAGTATCTTACTTGATCCTTTTAGTAACTTTGTAAGGAAACTACAAGGGCAGCTATTATCACTCCTATTGTGGAAATGAGGAAACAGAGATTTAGAAAGGAAACATTTTTAAGGAGGCCCAACCTATGAGTTGTGGAGCTAAAGATGGGTTTCTACCTTATATTCTTTTCAGATCTTTCAGACTCTCATTTTTCAGAATTGGAAAAGAAAAAAATACAAAAATAAAACTTAGTTACACTTGTGAGAAAACTGTCTGGCTCACAGTTAATAACTGCTTTTAAAACATCTTATTTCAACCTACTTGAAAAAAACAGGCTGACTTCCAATGAGACAGCAATGTGATAATTTAGGCAGAATAAAAGTACAACCCCACATATACTGTAAACACTATTATTACAAGAAGCCAGTGTGCAGACCATCTGGAGTATGATGTCTCAATAGTAGGAGAGTAAACATACCTTAAGAACCACTGGTCTTAAGCAATTTTTTGCATGTATTACAAAATTATAAACACTAAATGGAAATACAACTTACCTACAATTCACTGTTGATTTTCCACCTTCAAATTCAGAATTCTTCCCCCACCTTTTAGGTAATTCTAATATCATAAGTCCTTTTATTCCTATAAGTGCTACATGATGTTGTGTTGGACTTAACAAGACTTGATAGATTTCAAACAGGGGTGGATTTATGCAAAGCAATCTCTGAAAATTAAAGCAAACTAGTCAAAATAGTTAATTTTAATGCAAATATATATGGCAGTTACTTGAAAGCACAGTACCACTTTAGTTTTCTATAACTGTAGTTTAATGAAACATTCTGGGTAAGTACTAACACCTCAGCCATTACCTGATGAAATATTTTTTAACTATTTAGATTGGAATATTATATAAAATGCACCAGGTTTCCCTACTTTGACAAATACTACATATAACTCCCTTTTTATCATCAAACTCCAGACTACCACTTCAGCGTCAAATCTCCACCATTCCCCACTTGTACTTTATACTCCAATCAGATTAACTTGTATTTCTGGGAAATCATCATACTTTGTTATGTCTCTGTGTCTCTGTACAACTATTCTTCCTGCAATGCCCTCATTTTTCTTTTTTAGCTGGCTAAAACATTCTTGGAGACTCAGTTCCTATGCACTTTCCTCCCAAGAAAATATCCGTGACCTTCTGGCCAGGAACTAATGCATCTTTTCTACACCCTAGATAATTCTATTATAGTACTTAGCACCCTGCATTCTAATTATCCTTTTACCTGCTCATCCCACACAACTATGAATTACTTGAGCTCTGTGTCTTTCCTTTCTGTATCTTTGGCATAGTATATGGCATGTTGCTAACTAACTCTCAATATATGTTTTAGTGACCAGACAAATGAAGAACTCATAAGTACTAGTAAATGATAATTACTGTTATAAATAGTACAATAAGATAGAGGATGGCTTCAAGAGCTTCTGCAACTAAAATGCTGCTTTACCGAGGCAGATTTGACATTGAACAGTGGTATTTTCAGGGAATTCTGTTAAGCTGTTTGTCTCATATGCCCTCAAAAAAAAAAAAAGTCCTTCTATTTCTTCTCTCATGAGCATCTCAAATTCCCATTTTCTTTTCTTTCTATTTTCAGTAATAAACCATGAGATTACCAATGTATTGCTTATCCTTATGTACAGAGAATCACCCTAAATCAAAATCTTTTTAGACAGGACTGTTGAATATAATGTGATTTCAATTGTTCCTGATGTCTGTAAGTCTGAAGTTTCTTTGTTTTTGTTCTTAGCTGCCCTTTGCCGATTCTAATCAAACTGTTTTTCCTCCGGTCAGTGGTTCTTCCCTTTTCCCATCTTCTCAATCTTCCTCCTATTTGATTCTAATGATCTACCTCAAATCAAAGACCACCTTTCTCCTGTTATGCATACAATCTAATCTAATTACCTAGGTCACCTGTGATAATCACATAATTTACGTGGGCTTTTTTTGTTTGGTTTGTTTTTTGGTTTGATTTGGTTTTTAAAGTCACTACTCATGCTTTCATTTCGCCTTTTGGGGGGACGGTTGTTTTTTTTTTGATTTGGTTTGGTTTTTAAGGTGGCTATTCATGTTTTCATTTCACTGAAACTTGCAACTCACGCTAAACTGCTTCCTTGTCTATCTCTGAGTTTTTGACATTTGGAGGATTGAAGGTCATTCAGACAGTTATCAATATGTACTGAGGGTTTATATGTTCCAAGCACACTGAAGCACTGGGGATACAAAACTAAGTAAGGCGGACACAGCCCCTGCTTTGGTGCTTGCACTCCAGAAAAGAAGTCAGACAATAAATTAACAAGTATAAATAATTTAATCATGACTGTGCTAAATTCTGCATAGCAATATAGGGTGCTATTGTTAATACTGTGTGCCGAGCATCTAACACTTACTCTTATAAACTGAAATTTTACAGTCAGTAGTTTGTGCGCTTGTGACCTGTTTTCAACACTGCAAAAACAATGCCAGCACCTTATTCAAATTATTTCTCATCAGCAAGAATCAAACAACGGCACACGATATATGTATGCCATATGTTAGAATGGGGGCCAAGTTTTCTTATTTTGTAATCTTTAAAAGACGCGAATCGGCTTATTACAAATAAACGCTTCCATAAAGCAATGTTTAATCACAAGAAGTCTGTAGTACTTTCTGATCACACCTACTTTCACATGCTGTTTGGCTTCTCAGAAGCCAGCAAAAATCCCTTTCAACTCTGGAGATGGCCCAATTTTTTGAAAGCGCTAACAGGGATTCCTCCTCCATGTCAGGCACGAAGCTTGTTGCTTTCAAATCAACGACCCGACGTAATGCTCTCAACAGCCCCAAGAGAAAGTTAGGACTGTCCCTATTATTTAATGAGCGTGACGTCATGACATCGGATTCTTGGGACCAACCTCCTAAAAAGAGCGAGTGCACCCACACTCTTAAGCCTCTTACCCCTGCTCTGTTTTTCTTCAGAGCACCTGCGCCACTGATGTTTTACTGTTACTCCATGGTCTCTCCCTTCCTCCCAGACCCCGCGAATTTAAGCATCTGGAGCGCAGGCGTTCCTATAACAGTATCCGGCGCAGCGTCAGAGTCAACGAACATATGTGGAAGGAGTGAAATATGCGTAGAGAGGGTTCAAAAGGTTCTACGGCCACGCTACAGCGAATGAAAATAAGACTTTTCCACTCGCTGCTGGACGCCCCCAAAAAGGACGTCTGCTCACCCTCGCAGAGCACCCCTCCCAGCAGACGAAAACCAGCCAGGATGGGAAGGGGACGTAAACGCCATTTCAGATCCCAGCTGAGGGTCCTTTTCCAGATCAGCCTGGCCGTACCTGGTACTGGGAGAGGGAAGACTCCTCACCAGCGCCGCTGGGGTCCCGAAGGCGCACGACTAAGAAGGAGCTGCCTTCTCCGTCCCATAAGAAGAGCTCTCCGCCGAGGCCCAAGACCAGGTTTCTCGTCAGCAAGTGCGGCGGCAGGGGCGGCGGCGAAGGCAATGATGAAGAAGCCGGCTTCTCGGCTGCGGCTGGGCTCTGGTTTTTCCGTCCTTCCCGGAGCCGCAAGAACACGGCATGGTCAGGGAGCCAGGCCTGCCACAGCTCACCGTCTCCCGCGGCTCCTTCGGCGGCCGCCATCTTGGCCCAACAGCTCTCGTCAGCCCAGTTGCTCAGCCCGCCGCTGAGGGCAGCCAATTCGCTTCCAGCCGTCCACTGCTTCGGCCAGTCATCGAGCAGGGAGCCCGGAAGCCCGAGCAGGGCTAGGGGAGGGGCGGGGCGAAGGTGAGGCCAGCCCGTCAGGTAGCGTCATCGCCAAAGCAAAGCCAATCACTAGTCAAGCCTATTCTGAAGCCAAAGGGGGCGGGACGAGAAGGTCAACATGCCACTGCCTGCTTAGAGAAAGCTTTGGGGTTGCGGGAAGTCTAGTAGCTGGGGGTAAAGCGCCTGAGACCTGTGTATCTAACTGCTTATTGGACATTTCACCTGGATAAACCTAAATATCTAAAACCTTCCCTCAAGACTTACCTCCCTCAATCCAGGTTGGGCAGACCTCACAAATATCACTTCTTTTTGTTTGTTTGTTTTTTGCGGTACGCGGGCCTCTCACTGTTGTGGCCTCTCCTGTCATGGCTCACGGGCCCAGCCGCTCCGCGGCACGTGGGATTCTCCCGGACCGGGGCACGAACCCGTGTCCCCGGCATCGGCAGGCGGACTCTCAACCACTGCGCCACCAGGGAAACCCGCAAATGTCACTTCTTTAGTCACCCATTCTGGGGTTGCCCAAGCCTGTCTCCGAGTGGGGCCGGCCGGAAGGACAGCGCTTCCCAGAATTCCCTACGATCTTGTGCGACCAGCACCCAGGAACTACAACTCCCAGGATTCTGCACGCGCCCCGGGGCGCGGGCCTTCTGGCGGCGACTCCCGCGAAAAGGAGATGGCAGAGGGATCAGGGTCTCGGCATCGATCGCTGTATAAACTGGTGGGCTCCCCGCCTTGGAAAGAGGCTTTCAGGCAGGTGAGTGTGGAGTTTGGAAAGCCTTGGCCGGGCTGTCGTCACTCCCCTAGTCCGTCCCGGCAACCGCTCTCCTCCGTGCTTTTCTCTCAGCCCAGCCTGGTGAAGCAGGTGTCCGTGGAGGTGGACCTGGAACCCGAGCCTCTCACCTGTAGGTCCGGGCCTCGGCCACCGCCCGGCCACTTCCTGGAGTTTCTGTACCTCTGGGTGTGGCATTGCCCGGGCCGGCCCGGGCCCAGGAAGCCTTCCTTTTGGTCTCGGGTTTGCTTTCAGTGTGAAGTGTGATCGCGACCGCACCTCTACATTTCTATGGTGGCACCACCATCACCCGCTGATGTCGGGTCGGTGGACACCAGAGAGGCACCTTGTACACTCACCGCAAGCGAGAGAGACGTTATGTCTATTCCACAGAGGAATAGAATAATTAGACATTATTTCTAATCCCGGAAATTATTTCTCTTCCTATTCCAAACTATTTCTTCTGAGCCTCCGTCCCTAAGTCTTAGCAGGGTTGTAGCCTACGGTCAGTTCTGACCTATCCTGAGCTCAGTCTGGTTCCTGTAAGTACTATGACCTGTCTTTCCAGTAATCTCTGAAGTAGTGGATATATCCCAGGAAAATAATCTGATGCTAGAAATGACTGTCGACAGCAGGATTTCTCTCAATCCTGGTTCTTGACATTTTTGAAGACGACAGTTCTTTGTTGTGGGGTGCTGTTCTAGGATTGTAGAATGTTTAGCAGCCTCCCTGGCCTCATACTTACTAGATGTCAATAATCCTACAGCTAGAGCTGTGACAACCAAAAATGTCTCCAGTCATTGCCACATGTCCCCTAGGGGACAAGATTGCCTGAAGGTGAGAGACATGGTACAGGATGGCGGCTACCAGAATCATATCGAGAGTAGCAAGAATTAGGAAGCGGGACTTCCTGGTGGCGCAGTGGTTAAGAATCTGCCTGCCACTGCAGGGGACATGGGTTCAAGCCCTGGTCCTGGAAGATCCCACATGCCACGGAGCAGCTAAGCCCGTGCACCACAACTACTGAGCCTACACACTAGAGCCCGTGAGCCACAACTACTGAGCACACGTGCCACAACTACTGAAGCCCATGTGCCTAGAGCCCATGCTCTGCAACGAGAAGCCACCACAATGAGCAGCCCATGCACCGCAATGAAGAGTAGCCCCCGCTCACCACAACTAGAGAAAGCCAGTGTGCAGCAATGAAGACCCAATGCAGCCAAAAATAAATAAATTTATTTAAAAACAAAAACAAAACACACAAAAAAGAATTAGGAAGCAACCTAAGTGTCCTGTTAGCACAGTGGATGCTGCGCTATTATCACCCAACCATTAAGCAAGCTGGCATTAAAGATAGACTATGAAATATGTCAATCTGGAAATATGTGACCCAAGCATTGTAATTTCACCCATCAACACGTGGATACGGGCTGGAGAGGAAGGTGCCAAAATAACAATAGTTGGGATTAGAGTTGAAATTTTGTGTCTATAGAATTCCTTTAATGTTTTAACAACTAATCTAAGAGGTGTTTTTTGTTTGTTTGTTTTTGACGGAATTGCCTTTTCTGCCCCCTCACCTTTGTCTTCTTCCAAGGGATGCCTGGAGAGAATGAGAAACAGCCGGGACAGGCTCCTGAACAAATATCGCCAGGCTGGAGGCAATATGTCAGGAGGAGCTCAGAACACCTTTCTCGTGCAGGAGGTGATGGAAGAAGAGTGGAATGCTTTGCAGTTGGCGGAGAGCCGGCCAGAGGCCTTGGCTCAGGTCAGGCTGGGATATGTGTTTTTAGCACCAGGGATGCCAGTGTCCTCTCTCTGCCTATTTCCCCAAGTCCTCTAAACCCATCCACCCTCCAGCCCCCAATCAGGATTCTAACAGCCTCTCACCCAGGTTCTTCTACCTTTAACGTTAGACTCTTCTAGATTAATTAATGGTTCATAAATACCAGGCTGTCGACCTGCTGCATCATTGCATCATAATCACTTCTGAAACTGAAAAGAAAGAAATTTCACTCATTGGCTGCACCCCTGGAGCTTTTGATTCAGTAGGCCTAAGCCAGGAATCTCTCTTTTTAAAAAGGTCTCCAGGAACTTTCTGGTTCTAATCTCAGACAGGGTTAGGAACTGGGTGTGGATAGGAGACCATTTACCATGTATCAGGAAGAGCACTGGATTGGAAGTCAGTAGTTCTGGAATTCTGATCCTGGTTTTGCTATTGACTCTTAACTCTGCCTCTTTGAGCTTTAGTTTTCCCATTTGTAAGATGAAAAAGATAATGTTGTCGGTATTGTGAGGACAGTATAAGAAACATGTGGGAAACTGCTTTGAGAACATCAAGGCTCTCTGTAATAAAGAGGCGTTACTTGGTGCCTTCTATGTGTCCTACATTGTGCCAAATGTCTGAGTTACATAATCACAATGAGTGCGCACAATAACCCTCTCAGGTGGGTCTTATTCCCACTTTACAGAGGCCTGAAATGAGGTTGACAGAGGTTAGGAACTTTCTAATGGTCACAGAGCTTTAGCAGAGCCATATACTTAGCTGCTACCCTATACTGTCTCCCCCAAATGTGGTACCATTATTTTGTCACTGGCTGGTTTAATCATCTGTTGATGCCTTTCTCAGCATGGCCACATTACCGCATTGTCGGCACATTCTACAGAAGGACTGGGTTGATTTCCTCAGTTGAATCTGTGTTCTTCCAGCCAGCCTCCAAGTGTGAATCATTGTGGGTCTTGTCAGCTGATCATAACTTCAAACCTCTGCTGACCCTACTTTCTCTTGCAGTTGGAGGAGCCGCTGGACCTGGCCGTGCTGGAGGAAATCCAACAGGAGCTGATTGATCAAGGTGAGGTCTAAGAATAGTTCTTCCTGCCTATATCTCTAGCTGCTCTAATGCTGATGCTTTTTTCTGAACAGCATGTTTTTAACTCATTATTTCCATCTTTAGTCGAGTGTCCAGAAATCTCTGTTTTTACTCTAAGGTCTTGGCTGTCTGTCTTCCCAATAATAATAGTCATTGTTTCCAGGCCTTGTGCTCTGACCTCTTCTTCCATGCTATGGTTCTCTCCTTATGATGCCCCTACCAGGTAGCGTGAGACAGAAGAGAGTGGTGTCTTACACCACAGGTTGCACAGCTGGTGGTGGGGTTGGGAAGTAAAATCAGTGTTGTGAGTCCAGTTTCCATGTCTATTCTATCGACAGTACCTCTCTGTTAATAGATTAGTAGTAATCCTGTCACCTTACAGGATAGTGCACGATCAGATCTCTTGCGCTACCTAATTTAAGTACCTCCTCTTGTGTCTTTTCTTTACTGACTCCCCAGGGTCTTGTGAGCATCCCCTTCCTGTGGAATCATAGCACCACGGAGTGCATAATTTAGCACCTTATGTAATTTAAGTCATTTATCTCACACAGCCCTATCTTGATTAGGCTTAGCTTTTGTCATCTGTTAAATAGAGATAACAGACTTGACTCTCTAAAACTACAAAACTATTTGTAGACTTAAATAATATGTGTAGACTTAGAACAGTGCCTGGCATATAGGAAGTTTTCAATACACAATAGCTATTATCTTAAGGACGCAAGACCATGAATCTCTGCTAAGATTCACTTCTCAGCTTTACCACTTTAACTTGTGTGGCGCCGGGCAAAGCACTTAATCTCCCTGTGCCTGTCTCTCCATCTTTAAGATAAGGGAGTAGTAGTGAAGAAGTTAATATACATAAAGAACTTAAAACAGCACTTGACACATAGTGTAGTGCTATGCAAACATTAGTTATGATGATGGGTGTGTTGACTCCAGTTAGACTGTATATTCCTTGATTTTAATTTTTTTCTTTTTAATTGATTTTCTCTTTACCCTCGCCTGCAAAACCTACCTTAGTGGTGAAACACAGGACTCACTAAATATTTCTCTTGCGGTATATTTAATTCAAAAATCTGTAGTGATAAGAATTTGCTGTGTTCTGCCATACTCAGTCATAAGGAACCCTCTAGAATAGAGGTTGGCAAACTTTCTGTGAGGGGCCAGATAGTAAATATTTAGGCTACTGCAGCTACTTAGTTCTGCTGTTGTAGGGTGAAAACAGCTATAGCCCATACATAAACCAAATGAGCGTGGCTGTTCCGTTACAACTTTACTTAAAAAATGGAAAGTGGGGGACTTCCCTGGCGGTCCAGTGGTTAAGATGCCACGCTTCCACTGCAGGGGCACGGGTTCAATCCCTGGTCGGGAAACTGAGATCCTGCATGCCCTGTGACATGGCCAAAATTTTTTTAAAAATTAAAAATGTTAGGTGGGCTGGAATGGCCTGTGGGCTGTGGTTTGCTGACCCCTGCTCCGAAGCCTAGATGGCGAGCTCATCAAGAGCAGGGACCAGCCTACTTCATCTTTGTACCCCAGGCCTACTAAGTACTAGGGCTTGTTGCATGTTTGCTACACACGTTCTGAACAGCACAGAGCCTGAGTCTGTGGACACTGGCGAACATCTCACCTTAGACTCAGCCAGGTGGGCCTGGCATCCGAAGCCGTCAGCGTCTGTGTTCTCCAGCTGCTCCTGGGACCCTGCCACTCTTCATCTCTGCCCCTGTGGCCTCTGGAGATGGGTGTGAAAGTTGTCTCTTTGTCTCTTAGCCTCATCACTTCACAAGGAGAGGACAGACAGGAGGGGAAAGAGCCAACAAGATGAAGCCTGAGCAGTAAATATCTAGTGATTGGTAGTGTGATTTTGCCCGCATTTTTCTCTTGTGTGGATGATGCCTTTGAAAGTGAAGCTTAGCACTCAGGACAGGGCGACCCAGGTGACGTGAGGTGAAACACGCCAGCTGTCCTTTGCCTTGCAGAACAGTCCATCATCAGTGAGTACGAGAAGAGCTTGCAGTTTGATGAAAAGTGTCTCAGCGTCATGCTGGCTGAGTGGGAAGCAAACTCCCTCATCTGTCCTGTGTGTACAAAGTAAGAGTTTTCACAACCTTTTCAGCATTATTTGTTCCCACCCCACACTCCAAGGTGAGTGGAATTTCCCCCCAAATCTATTATCTGGGAAGGTTGAGGGATCCAGGTGTGCTGGCCGTAATGCGCTGGGATCCCAATTCTGCTTTCAGGTACAATCTGAGAATAGCAAGCGGTGTGGTCATGTGTCGGTGTGGCCTGTACATCCCATCTCATGTGAGTGTTCCTCACACAGACCGTGTCACCTCTGCACACATCTCTTCCCAACTTCACGTTCAGTTCACACTGGTAGCTTGCAGTCATCCATGGTGAGAATACAGACAGCATATTTGTGAGGTACTTATTAATGTACGGCTGCTTAAGAGCTTTATAGAAAGCCCAGTTTAGAATTGGAAACACTTGTATCTGATTTACATAAAAATTTTCCATATATGAAGACACAGCTGTATTCAGAATTTTAAGTGTCAGTGGTCTTAAAATATAAGAGCCCTCTTATCTGACATGATGTGGCTAAAAGTTTGCCAGTTCGTTGAAGTGGTAAGTTATAAAAATGAAACATTTTATAGGAAGTTTTAAACATACACTTATTTGCCAGTCCTTGAGCGAGGCTCTGCTGATTGGAGAGCTGAGGTTTTTGTTTTGTTTTTGTTTTTTATAAACTACTCTTAAAGCGCATAATCTAGCATTTCCTGTTTTGTTTCTGTAAGTGCCATCAAGAAGCTGAGTGCACTTCAGGATTTTTCCTCCCCATCTTTTACCTAATTCAACACTTTTTTTTTAGGGACTCATCTTTTTGACTGTTCCTTCAATATTCCACTTATCACAAAAACATAACTTTGTTTCATTCTCTTATTTCATTGGTTTACATAGTAGATAATTAAGTCCGTCAGTTACAATAGCAAGTTCAATTAGCACAAACAGAGGTAGGACCAAGCAGCACTGGCTCTTGGTAAGGGTACACTTGGCTGGTAGAGGCAGAAACACAGGGAGGCTGGGAAGCCTCCCAGCCCTGGACGTTCCTGGTGCGGTGAGCATCAGTGTTCAGGGCAGGAGTGGAGAGCACTGGTCCATCTGGAGAGGCGGTCAGATGGACGTTATTTAAGAGATCCTCTCAGCACGATCGTGAGCATTTCTAAAGGTCCGAGGAATCAGACCATCACAGCGAGCCATGGTTACAGGATGGTGTGAGGAATCGGGATTTTCAGCCTGTTGACTATGCGACGACTTAAGGTTAGCTTGTAGTTTAACTTTTCTGTTTTTCAGTCTCCAGAGGTAACAGAGCAAAAGTTTCGCGCCTGTTTAGAAGACAGCGTGAATGAGCACAGTGCATGTTGTCCCCACACGCCGGCATTTTCGGTCACTGAAGGAACAGAGGAAAAGTCCAGTCTTCTCATGAGCTGTCTGGTAAGCCTCCCACAGGACCCAGTGGTAAAAGCGGGTCAGTGGTTGGTTTTATTCCCACCCTGGTAGAAATAGCTTACAAAGAGGTAAATGTTTAAAAATGCAGTTTATTCTCTGAGGAACTTTACTTGCATAGAAAAGTGAAGTCACTTCAGTTAAAAAGGCCAGTCATTCCCCGAAAGGGGAAGGACAGAGGCAGCCCAGGTCGTGAAAGGAGCAGCAAAAATGTCATTACTGGTTGCAACTTCTAACCATATATTGAGATTGCTTTTGTGACTGGAATATAATTTAAGCTAACTTTTTTTCTATTTAAATTCAGGCTTGTGATACTTGGGCTGTGATCCTCTAGAGCCAGCCCTGATGCACACGATCTACTGGGTTGGAAACAAGTTCTGTCTTGAGAAGGGGCCTTGTAAATACAAATCTTTCATTTATAACTTATTTTGTATTAAAATGTTTCAAAGTTTTCTCTGCTCTTTGTGTTTCGTAATGCAGATTGAAAGGGAAGGAGTAGAAATAGAAAAGACAAATCACCTTGGAGATTTTATTGTCCATCATTTTGTTATACAAAAATCTAGAAATAACAGGTTTGTAGAGAATAAATGGTAAATCAGAGGCAAAAGAAATAAGTTAATATTGAATTATTTTCCATGATATTGGGATGAAAACCATTTCAAAGCATGTGGGTCTGGCTTCAGAGTAGGTGTTGTTCACTGGCCAAAGCCTGCCGTAAAATTAAGGTGTTTGGCAGCTTGTCTTCTCTATTGGCTTTTGACAAAACCTTTGAGGTCTTCTAGAAAAGTAATGTACTCCTGGTGCTCCAAGGCTGTGCTGAGCTCTACCAACTCATCAGCGAAAGTGTTGTCCACCCCTCGGTCCGCAAGGAAATCCATTAGGTGGTCGTATAAGCCCTAAAAGGAGAAACATTAGTTAAAAAAAAAAAAAGAAGGCACCCGAGACACTTATTAAGATGATTCTTTGTGTGGCTTGGACTAGACCCTCCCCTGCAAGGCCCAAGGGCACCATCACCTTATCGGGCACTCACCCAGTCCAGGGAATCTGTGCTGAGCGTGTAATTCGTGTCCTTCCAGTCAGAATCGCCAGTGGACTGAAAGCTCACTTCCTTGATGGAGAAAATGTCACTCTGGTCCTCCTCTTCTTGTCCAATCTGACAAGAGACAATATTTGGGGAAAACTGAAAGGTTTCCCAGGACAAGCCAGACTCGTGCAAAGAAAAGGGACTATTTATAGCTTGAAACTCAGATCTTAACCTTGCTCCCTCACCGCCCCCCACCCCAGTCTTCCCAGTTTTGCTGGTCTAAGCTAGAAAATGTTAGTATCAGCTAAATGGGACCAGGAAGGTCCCCGGAGGCCCTCCTTGTCCCCAGGGCTGCCAGCACTGCACTCTACATACCTCATCTTCTGGAAAGTGACAGTCCAGCACAAGGGCCTTGTTGCTACCATCCTTTACAACTTCAACCACAAAATTGGGAGTGGACGTCAATTCAGGCTGGGGAAACAAGAACGAGTCAGTAAATGTCTCTGTTGGCAGGGGTCTGGACCGAAGGTCTCAGTTCAGGGGGTCTGATAGCCACTGCTACGCTATGGTGTTCCCAAGTAAGGAGCCTAGGATCTTTTAACACAGAGTATTAAAGCCACGTACCAGCTTGTTCAGACAGACTGGGCTGAACCCATCCTGTGGATCCTTTCTAGAGTTGTAGACTATGTTTTGGATGGCAGAGTATCATATATTTAGTACAGCGTTTCACTTCTATTAGCCACGCTACTTATTTAAAGAACATACGAGGTTACATATTAGAACCTAATACTAGGTTCTAACCTAATTCTACAAGGTTAGAATCAGGAAATCTGAACTCCAGCCCCAGCGAGAGTGCCAATTAACTTAATCTTCCTGGGCCTTTTTCTACATCCGTACACTACAAAGCTGGCCTAAAGCTCCAAAATCCCTTCCCAGCTGTTTTGGGATCTTCCTCTATTACAGCCCAGGACCAGAGGCTGGTGCCTCTGGCTAAAGCACAGCAACCCCCGCTTTGAGGGTGAGCCAGCCAGTGTGTGTGCTGGGGGCGGGGCGGTCCTAGTGCTGGGCCAGCGCTCCAGGGAGCTGAGCTGGGTCGTGAGACAATACCATGCCAACCCAGCCAGAAAGCCTGGGGACCCTGTGGCCCTCACACTGGCTGGTTTCTAGGCTGGGCACACTGCTTCCTAAAATGTTTGAAGACCGAGCACCATCCAGGTCCAAGCAAGACGGGCAGCACCTTAAGGCGAAGTCTCTGACGCCCCTGCCTGGTGTTTATCACCAGCCTGGGACGTGTGAGAGCACCCCTCACTTGGAAACACTCCAAATGACAGTTTACCTCCTGATCATGGGAAGGGTTAAGACAGTTTCAATTCCTCTCTATTAAGTGAACACAGGGCAAATTATAAAGCCTAAGCCTAAAGGGAACAATTTACTTCACCCCTGGGAAAGAAAAGGGGCCACACAGTTCTGGTGCTCTACAAGAAGAGGCCCAAGGATGGCTGTCCTTTGCCTTCTCTCCTAGTGTTAAGAGAATTTAAACAAAACAAAAACCAATGCTCCTTCTGCAAGCCTCCAGAACAGCCCGTGAGAAGGCGGCGGCACAGGCTGGTCACAGTGTTACAGACTTGCCTCCTGTTCTTCAACCTTCTGCCCTTCAGAGGTCCCCTCCTCCCCATCATATGTGGGTGGGATGCTGTTGTTAATGTTGAAAGTGACGGTGACCCTAGAAAGGCAAGAGAAAACACAACAGAGGATGTCCTCTTAACTGAGGAGTAGATACTGAGGCTTGCTACAGTTCAAAATGCTGCTGAAACAATACACCTCTGATCTGCAGAACTTCCAAAAGGCGGGTGCCTGCATCCCACCCACAGATAGATTCAGCAGGCCCGAAGTGGGCCTACTATGTGTTGGCTGCTGGAAGTCAATTAGGCACTTGTTCCTCAGCCAAATGCAGTCATGTGTGGGCTCCTGTCACCAGGCCGGCATCCAGGGCTCACTGCCAGCCTGTGTCCACTGGCTACCTCCTGGCCACAGCCAACTGACAATGCCACCCTCGTCTTTCCAGAGCACCTTCCAGTGGTGGGAAGCTGGGGGCAGGGGGCAGAAGCCTCCTTTAAAAGCTTTTCTCCATTAGAAGAAAATCTGCCCGAGAGGAGGGGAAGAAGGCGCGCTGGAGGGCTGTGGCATCAGCTGAGGAGGGAGCAGCCCTGGCCCCATGCAGGGGGCGCCTCACAAGGAGCAACACTTGCTGGGGAGCTCCCTGGTGGTCCGGTGGTTAGGACTCAGCGCTTTCCCTGCCGTGGCCTGGGTTCAATCCCTGGATGGGGAACTAGGATCCTGCAAGACACAGGGCACCGCCAAAAAAAATAAAAGAACATGCTGCAGGACAGGCTCATTCCTCAGAGCAGTTGTGGGAAGTTTTATAATCACAAAGCAGGCCACAAACACCAACTAATGACAATTTTAAGTTGCAAGAACCTTCACCTGACATATCACGTTCCAAAATTTGAATCTAAAGTTGAGAGATCTGGAATGAGCACTGCTGGGTTGCAGACAACAGTGCACTGTAGCCACTCCCCTCTGGAGCTGTGCTAACTGGCTGCCTTGCCAGTTTGAGGTTTGAGGTTCAGCCACAAAATCTGTCTAATCTGCAACAGTGTGGACCAAGCTGACGCCTGGGCACAGAAATGTAGTTATGTTCATTAGAACATTACTTATAATGGCCCCAAACTGCCTACGACTTACCCCAGGAAAGTGGTTTAGGTCACATTACAGAATACGTGATTGACCTATGAGGGGGAAAACACTACACCCACCAAAACAAAACAAAAAACCCAGAACCCTACTTCACAGCATAGACAAAAATTCACTCAAAGTAGATCACAAACAGCTTAAGCAGGTCAAAGTCTTCCCATCTTTCTCATGATGACCCTTACTATTCGGCAACCCCACCCTTATCTTGTTTTCTCAACTATAAACAGAGTAGGAGCTTTGTTTTCCTCAGCCAGAGCCTGTAGTATAGTAAGTCAGCATTGCAAATCTGAGATTCTGTCGGTGCTGTCAGAATTTCTTAATTTGCGTGCATAGATTTAGGCAAGGCATAGCCTCCCTCAGCAGCAAGGGTTTAGTGACTGACACCTCTACTGGTCCAGTAGGCTCCCAGCGACTTGGCTTCGGTGCTACTTGCTTACCATCTCCATATTAACTATCACAGCACATAAGTGTGCAGTGAATGAACGACCTGGAGCTTACGAAATTATCCAAATGAATCCTACGGTCTCTCGGAAACCACGTGTCTGTTAAGCACCTGTCTTAACTAAAGGCTGTTGTGGATGAGTAAGGGCAGGTCCTGCAGGGTCATGGATTTGGTTCCCTGGAGTCCATAGGCCCCTGGTACTTACTTTTCTCCAGCAACTTTCTGCACTAATTTAGCTTCTGTCCCATTCACTTCCAGCTCCCAACCTCCAGACATCTTGGGGAGAGACTTATACTTCTGTATCTTCTTTTCCTCCTTAATCTCATCATTGAGGAATTCAACAAAAGCTCTGTCCCCTACAATGGAAGTAAGTTACAGAAAGAGCCAATCAGTCTAAAACGGAAAACGACCCAGGTTACTACAACCAGAGACCTGTATTTGGGCTGTTTCTAATACTTCTGCTATTAACGGTGGCTCTGGGAACTTATCCTCATCTGTAAAAATGCCGTTAAGCTATCAGGAGGAAGCTGAGCTCGCATTCTGGTAAAGTGATTCCCAACAATGAACTCCTTACGACGTTTCAAAATAGAGCAAGAAAAATTCGCAATTACCCTCTTTCACTTGCCAACAAACAACACCACGCTACTTACTCCCAACCGCGACCTTGGGCTTTCGCAAAGTTCCATTTTCGAGAGACTGAGAATAGAGTCGGCCTCCAGGGCTTTACAGCATCTCTCCCCGCAGAGTAAAACAGAGGTGGGGGAAGACGGGAAACGCGATCACGCGTGGGTTTACCCCGCTGGTCGCCGATCAGTGGGAGAATGTTCTGGACTTCAGGGGCGGTTCCGGGCTGTCCACGCGTGGTCTACACTTCCACGTCCCGGACTCCCCGCCCCACCCAGGCCCTGGCCCCTCACGCCCCTGGCCCACGTGCACGAGTCTTACCTTCGGTGTGCAGTCCGCCGCAGCCGCAGCCGCAGCCGCAGGGCCCCCAAGGCCGCAGGAGACCGGGCAACTGCACCGACCCCGCGCGCACGCTCAGCAGCCCAAAGGGCCGGGCGCACGGCCTAGACGCGGGCTGCAGCAGCGGCAGGGAGGGCGCGGCGGCGCGGATGCCAGCGACAGCGGTGCCCAGGACGCGGGGCACGCAGCGCAGCAGCGGCAGCATTTCTGCAGCGGAGGCGGAGGCGGCGGCGGACACGTGCGGACACGAACGACAACTCTCGGCAAGAGCGACAACTCTTCGCAACTGCGCCCCCTAGATCTAGGGCCGCCGCCGGAAGTCCCGCCCCCTCCCCGGGAAGTGCTTCCGCGCCGCCGCTTTGCAGACCGAAGGCACAGCGGGCGGGAATGCGCCCTCTGCTGGTAGCCTCCGGTGTGGCCTCCCGGGGAGGCCTGGAATCCGATTCCTGAACTTCTTTAGCTGAGCTGGCTTGAGTCTGGTGTCCCAGGCTTGCTGTTTAATTGGCCAGCATCCGTTCTCTCCAGTGGCTGCTTACACTCTCCAAATTTCCATCTACTGTTCTCAAGCACGGCCAGGCTTTCTATGACTTCGTGGAATGCACTCTTGCCACCACCAACTCCCAAAGACCAGCCTCCGGGATCACCTCCCATAAGAGGCCTTCCTGGAACTTCCTCCTCTCGTCCCTGAAAAACAGACTCATGCCTGTGCGACCCGGCCCCTGTCCTTTATTCTTTTCTCAGCAGAAACCTCCTGGCACTGCTGGTTTACCTGGCAGCTGACCCTCACCCCCACCAGGTCCGGAGCTCCTAAAGGCAAGAGCCCTGGTTAATTCCTGCAACCCTCCAACCTTACACCCAGGTTCTGATGGGACATTATTTTTCTGGGGGCAAGAAGGCACAGCTTACATTAAATTTAGGTTAAGAACTAATGTTCCTACCTTACCAGGACACATAAGATATATAAGGTAGCAAGAAGGTAAGTCTTCCCAAATCAAGTGGCAAAGATAAGATATACTTAATATATTCTAAACAGCATTCTGTGAATAAGGGAAAGGAGACCCAAGAAAGAAGCCTCACACATGTACAAGATTCACTTTTAATGGATTTGATAGTCATGTGCAAATTTGAGCATTATATACAAGAGCCAGTGCTTCTTTAGAGCTATCTGTTTGAACAAGGACTCTCAAAATACAACATAAACCTGAACCACCTAGATTTTTTTTGCTGCAAGTTATAATATTCTGATCAAATAAAATATAATAAAATTCTTGCTTCCCCACAGGTGCAGTGTTTCCTTCTATGCACAAGGAGTGGTATCTTAGATGCCTGGCCACAGTTCTAACCATTTCTTGACAGCTGGATTAAATGGATTTATGCATCACAGTACATAATCCGTCTTATCCACAGAGCAAAAACTTGTCTCCATTCTGGCATCTCTTTACCAAAGGTTTTTACCAAGAACTGGGTGATAGCAGTTCTTAGATCTATGCTGCTCTGGGGGTTTCACACTCCATGATTACTAGAAGCAGAAGACAAACATCTGAGGCATGTGATCTGCTTGGAGTGCATCTATTTACATGAAGCTGCTCAAGGGAGCTAGTGATTCACCTAGATATGGATTTCACAGGTTGGAAAAAAGGTGGCACACCACTGGAGATGGTAGGATTGAAAAGAGTAGCTCAAGGTTAAATTGCAACATCACTGTGAAACATTTAACTTTCTTAAGAAAGTTTAAAGTGTACTTATCTATCCCCTGCAGCTCAATGTAAACAACCATGTATTTCTTTGTAGTAATATGGAGAGTCAGACAGGCTTTTCCAATCCGATTTAATCCCTGAGCAGCTATGTTAAAAGTTAACTTTTTAAAAAGCCCAATAAAAAACTACTGTATGAAAACTCTACCAGAATGTTAGTGACAAATATATTTCTGTACCGAAACATAGACGCTATTTACCCCTTATTCCTGCTCAGAAAAAATATACATTTCCTGAAACGGTTCAGGTACTTGAGCTGGACATAAATGATTAAAAGCTAAATTTTACTTGCCCCAGAGAATACCTCTATATAATTTGCTGAGGAACATAATAAATTACCCCACTCCCAATTCTTTACCAGCATGATGAACATTTTATTAAAAATACAATATTTTCTTTTACCAATACCTTTTGAACATTTTATTAAAAATACAATATTTTCTTTTACCAATACCTTTTAAACCCTAAACATCCTGGGCCTCTATTAAGTAAAGGAATAACCAAAATACTGCACATGTGTGTTTTGACCAATTAAGCACAATAAAAGGGCTAAATCTTGGTGTCTTCTAGGGCATAGCATTCTCTGGGGAAAGATTATTTGCTTTTGATAATTAAATAGCTAAGAAGGACTTTTGGTGTCTTTTCCCTCCTCAGAATATGAAAACAGGAAGAGACTGTGGAGACCCTCTAATCCCCTCTGACAAATATGGAAAATGAGGGCTAGAGAGGGGCGAGTGGCAAAGCCAGGCTGTCCCCAGGTCCCTAAGAAGGAAAAAAATGATCGTAGGAAATAAATAAGATAAAAGAACATAAACACTAGATGAGGTGATGGATGAGCCAAAGCTGCCTGTGTTCTCACCTCCGCCCACCACAGGGCCAGAGAAGAAATGCCGTAAGCTCAGCTCAGAGACGCGCCTTAGGCTCAAGTGTTTACGGCCCTAAAGCACCTCCCTCCTGAAACAGAAGTTAATCTCTTGTGTTTTCTGTTATAAAAGTCCATATGCAGATAGAAGTTAAAATAGATCCAAGGTCAACAGCTCTGTGACATCTGGTGGTCCCCTTTCCAGATGATCCCCCTCAGTCTCGGGAACTCAGCGGGGTTCGTTGTACCTGATTCACATCATGTAGAAAAGCAGTAACAGCAACCAAGCTCCACGGCTCACGATCCACGGCGTGTTTATCGTGGGCAGGCACAGCTCTGGGTACTTGCCTTTCATTTGCTCTAAACCTCATGACCCCAACCCTGTAAGTATTATTATTATCACCCCCACATGGCAGATAGGGAAACTGAGGCTCAGAAGTTAACTAAGTCACCCAAAGTCGCCCAGCAAGAACTGAAAGCATCATTTTGAAGTCTCCAAGGCTGCTGCATGTCTGTGTGGTTCAGTCTGAGGAGTTTAGACAAAGATGCTTTCAAGCTCCCAGAGGCCGGGCATAATCCGCCCGATACGACTGCGGCCTCTCTGGGTGCCAGCCTGAGAGTCCGCGGCGAGGCCGGCTGCGGCCCAGCTCCCGCCCCGGGCGGCTCAGTTCCTGGAGGCCCTCAGCTTCCTCCTGAAGAAGTCGGGGGCAGCCTCGTACAGCCACTCGGCGTCCACCACGCACAGGTCGCGCATGTAGCACTTGTTGGTGAAGAGTAGCTCCGTGTACACGGCTTGCAGTGGAAGAGGACGGACGAGGGGTGGATGGCCACGGGCTGGTGGGTGTCCGTGGTGGCATAGGACCCGTCGGGCTGCAGCTCGGCGGTGCTCATGAAGAGGCTGTGTGCCAGGCAGCGGCGGACGCTCTCTGTGTCCCCTCGCGACGACAGGATCGGCATGGACATCTGGTTCGGGAGGAAGCGAGACATGGAGAAGACCCCAGACGTGAGTACTGTGCTGCCACCCGTGGTGGATGGAGCCACGCGCCCCCAGCACAGTCCAGGGTGCAGGGCCCACGGTGGAGGCTGACACCCGGGCAGCTGCCTGCGACGCCTGAGATCAGCGCTGCTGGAGGAGCAACATGTCTACTGTCAATAGAAAATGAGGGAACTCACGCAGCCAAGGGATGGTGTGGCAGGAGGGCTGTTCAAGTACAAGAAGGGTTCGAAAATGGTATAATGCAGAACACAGCACGCTACTATGAGAAGAAGTCACTCTAGTGCTAACAATGGGCCACTGGCATCAGGCACAGGCCTGGGTAAGGCACAACTGTCCCCTAGGGACGTGCGGATGGTCTGTGCCGCGGGCTGTCTCAAAAGACGCCTTACACACAAAGACAGTCACCACAGAGTTGCTCACAGCAGCAAAAAGTAGGCACTCTCTCAGTGCTCAACACAGGAGAAAGCGAACACAGACAAGCCCACCTTTGAGGTAAAATGTGGCGCATCATAGAGCCATTGAATATATAAACATTATGTCCTCTAAGAGGGAATATAAGCTCATAGGAAACTTGTTGGTTGATGATTTGGCAATGTCTATCAAAATCTAAACTCCCCATCTAAAACTTCATTCTATGTGTACCAGAGCACAGACATTTATGCAGGAGGATGATCATTAAAGCACAAGCTAAATTATCACCATTAGGGGCTTGGCTAAATAAACTGTAGTGAATACAGTGAAATGCTATGAAGTCACTAAAAAGAACGAGATAGACATATGCAGGCACTGCAAGACAGCCTAGACACAAAGTATTCAAGAAGTACTCCAAGTGGAAAAAAGCAAATTGCAAAACAGTGTTATACATTTTGTTTTAAAAAGAAAATTTTATCATGGTGTATGATCCTTTTAATGTGTTGCTGGATTCTGTTTGTTAGTATTTTGTTCAGGATTTTTGCATCTATGTTTATCAGTGATATTGAATTATAATTTTCTTTTTTGTGATATCTTCTTCTGGTTTTGGTATCAGGGTGATGGTGGCTTTGTAGAATGAATTTGGGAGTGTTTCTCCCTCTGCAATTTTTGGAAGAGTTTGAGAAGGATGGGTGTTAGCTCTTCTCTAAATGTTCGATAGAATTCATCTGTGAAGCCATCTGGTCCTGAACTTTTGTTTGTTGGAAGAGTTTTAATTATGGTTTCAATTGGCATATAGTAATCCTTTGCATTTCTGTGGTGTCAGTTGTGATTTCCCCTTTTTCATTTCTAATTTTATTGATTTGTGTCCTCTCCCTTTTTTCTTGATGAGTCTGGCTAAGGGTTTATCAATTTTGTTTATCTACTCAAAGAACCAGCTTTTAGTTTTATTGATCTTTGCTATTGTTTTCTTCATTTTTATTTCATTTATTTCTCCTCTGATTGTTATGATTTCTTTCCTTCTATTGACTTTGGGTTTTCTTTGTTCTCCTTTCTCTAGTTGTTTTAAGTGTAGGGTTGGATTGCTTATTTGAGATTTTTCTTGTTTCTTGAGGTGAGATTGAATTGCTATAAACTTCCCTCTTAGAAGTGCTTTTGCTTCATCCCACAGGATTCTTCACTATATGCAAATCAATCAATGTGATACACCACGTTAACAAATTAAGGAATAAAAACCATATGATCATCTCAATAGACACAGAAAAAGCTTTTGACAAAATTCAACACCCATTTATGATAAAAACTCTCCAGAAAATCGGCAGAGGGAATCTACCTCAACATAATAAAGGCCGTATATGACAAACCCACAGCAAGCATCATTCTCAATGGTGAAAAACTGAAAGCATTTCCACTAAGATCAGCAACAAGACAAGAATGTCCACTCTCGCCACTACTATTCAACATAGTTTTGGAAGCCCTAGCCACTGCAATCAGAGAAGAAAAAGAAATAAAAGGAATACAAATTGGAAAAGAAGAAGTAAAACTGTCACTGTTTGCAGATGACATGATACTATACATAGAAAATCCTAAAGATGCCACCAGAAAGCTACTAGAACTAATCAATGAATTTGGTAAGGTTGCAAGATGCAAAATTAATGCACAGAAATCTCTGGCATTCCTATACACTAACAACAAAAAGTCAGAGAGCGAAATTAAGGAAAAAGTCCCATTTACCACTGCAACAAAAAGAATAAAATACCCAAGAATAAACCTGCCTAAGGAGGGGAAAGACTTGTACTCAGAAAACTATAAAAACACTGATGAAAGAAACCAAAGATGACATAAACAGATGGAGAAATATACCACGTTCTTGGATTGGAAGAACCAATATCGTGAAAATGACTATACTACCCAAAGCAATCTACAGATTCAATGCAATCCCTATTGCACTACCAATGGCATTCTTCAGAATTAGAACAAAAAATTTTACAATTTGTATGGAAACACAAAAGACCCTGAATAGCCAAGGCAATCTTGAGAAAGAAAAACGGAACTGGAGGAATCAGGCTCCCTGACTTCAAACTATATCACAAAGCTACAGTAATCAAGACAGTATGGTACTGGCACAAAAACAGAAATATATATCAATGGAACAGGATAGAAAGCCCAGTGATAAACTCACGCACATATGGTCACCTAATTTAAGACAAAGGAGGCAAGAACATAAAATGGAGAAAAGATAGCCTCTTCAATAAGTGGTGCTGGGAAAACTGGACAGCTACATGTAAAAGAATGAAATTAGAACACTCCCTAACATCATACACAAAAATAAACTCCAAATGGAAAAGACCTAAATGTAATATCAGATGCTATAAAACTCTTAAGAGGAAAAGATAGGAAAAACACTCTTTGACATAAATCACAGCAAGATCTTTTTTGACCTACCTCCTAGAGTAACGGAAATAAAAACAAAAATAAACCAATGGGACTTAATTAAACACAAAAGCTTTTGCACAGCAAAGGAAACCATAAACAAGACAAAAAGACAACTCTCAGAATGGGAGAAAATATTTGCAAATGAAACAACAAAGGAGTAATCTCCAAAATATACAAACAGCTCATGGAGCTCAATATCAAAAAACCAAACAATCCAATTAAAAATGGGCAGAAGGACTTCCCTGGTGGCTCAGTGGTAAAGAATCCACCTGCCAACGCAGGGAATATGGGTTTGAGCCCTGGTCCGGGAAGATCCCACATGCCGTGGAGCCACTAAGCCCTTGCGCCACAACTACTGAGCCTGCGCTCTAGAGCCCGTGTTCCACAACTACTGAGCCCGCGCGCCTAGAGCCTGTGCTCTGCAACAAAGACAAGCCACTGCAATGAGAAGCCTGCACACCACAACGAAGAGTAGCCCCCGCTCGCAGCAACTAGAGAAAGCCCGCACGCAGCAATGAAGTCTCTGTGCAGCCAAAAATATATAAATAGATAAATTAAAAGAACAAAAAAGGGCAGAAGACCTAAATGGACATTTCACCAAGGAAGACATACAGATGGCCAAGAGGCACATGAAAAGATGCTCTACATCACTAATAATTAGAGAAATGCAAATCAAAACTATAATGAGATATCACTTCACACCGGTTAGAATGGCCATTATCAAAAAATCTAGAAACAATAAATGCTGGAAAGGGTGTGGTGAAAAGGGAACCCTTCTGCACTGTTGTTGGGAATGTAAATTGATGCAACCACTATGGAAAACAGTATGGAGTTTCCTTAAAAAACTAAAAATAGAACTACCATATGACCCAGCAATCCCATTACTGGGCATATACCCTGAGAAAACCATAATTCAAAAACAGACATGTACCACAATGTTCATTGCAGCACTATTTACAATAGCCAGGACACAGAACCAACCTAAATGTCCATCGACAGATTAATGGATAAGAAGATGTGGTATGATATATACAATGGAATATTACTCAGCTATAAAAGAAATGAAATTGAGATATTTGTAGTGAGATGGATGGACCTAGAGTCTGTCATACAGAGTGAAGTAAGTCAGAAAGAGAAAAACAAATACCGTATGCTAATATATATATATGGAATCTAAAAAAAATGGTACTGATGAACCTGCAGGGCAGGAATAAAGATGTAGACCCAGAGAATGGACTTGAGGACACGGGGTGGGAGGCGGAAGCTGGGGCGAGTTAGAGTAGCATCGACATATTTACACTACCAGATGTAAAACAGATAGCTAGTGGGAAGCAGCAGAATAGCACAGGGAGATCAGCTCGGTGCTTTGCAATGACCTAGAGGGGTGGAATAGAGAGGATGGGAGGAAGGCTCAAGAGGGAGGGGATATGGGGATATATGTATGCATACGGCTGATCCACTTTGGTGTACAACAGAAACTAACACAGTATTGTGAAGCAATTATACGCCAATAAAAATCTATTAAAATAAAGAAAAAAAGAAAATTTTATATAATGTATCCACGTATATGTGTATACCCACACATATACAAAAACATACATACACAGGAAAAAATTCTAGAAGGATCTACACCAGACTATTATTTATCTTTGGAGGGGCAGGATTAAGGAGACTTTTACACTTTCTGCATTATAAATCACTATTTTCTGCACTGTATCAATTTGCAACAATTATGCACGGCTTTTGTAATCTGAAAAAAAATAACAAAGATATTTCCACTAAAAAAACAAACCTTAGGAAGAATTCTAATAACATTGGAAAACACTTTTAAAGTTTATAAAAGCTGAATATAAATTATATATACAATGTAACTAATGATGTAAAAAATTCATTTAAAAACAGGGCTATGAAAAAACAGACCAAACTGGGGAAAGGTGGAGCTGTGGGTAATTTTTACTTTCTTCCTTATTTAAAAATTTTCCTACAATGAGAGGGTTTTTTTGCAATCACTTGCAATAAGCAACCTGAAATTTTTCACCTAGAAAAAAGTGACAGCTTAGCCCCCCAATGAACATCAGGAAGAAGAATACCTTTAGGCAGATATCCCTCAGCTGTGATCTGACTTCAGCTACCAGCATCATATTTTTACTGTGGACAAAATTCTCTTTGCACCAATCCTGAATAGGAGAAAAAAGAGATATCACAGTCCTCTCATTTCTATAAAGAAAAAAACACGGCACAATTTTTAATTTTAATTAAAAAAAAATTTGGGGCCGCACCACACGGCATGCGGGATCTTAGATCCCCAACCAGGAATCGAACCCATGCCCCCTGCAGTGGAAGCACGGAGTCTTAACCGCTGGACCGCCAGGGAAGTCCCAGCATAATTTTTAGAACATTGTTCTAATTCAGACGGAAAACTTCAGTTGCCAAAAATAAATACAGGAAAATATCTTTATAGCAAAAAGCATGAACCATAAAGGAAAACGGTAAAAATTTAAACTAAAGTACAACGAAAAACTCCATAGGTCAAGTCACGATGAAAAAAGCTAATGACTGGGATATCTGCATCACTACACCCAGTAAAGAATGATTACCTCCAGAATAAATAAATAAACTCCTACAAATCAGTGAGAAAATGACCAATACTCCAGTAGAAAAACGACAAAGGATATGGATGGACCACTCACAGAAGATTAACTACAAATGACAATAAACTTAAGCAAAGGTTCTCGGTCCCTTGAGGAATCAAGGCAGTGCAGTTTCAAATAACTGAGCTACTGCTTCACACCCCTCAACGTGGCAGAAATGGAAAGTCATTTCAACTAAGAGCTGGAGAGGCTGGTGGAAATCGAAACTCCTCTATACTACTCCGGGGAGGATAAAGAGGTGCTGACAGCTCTGTGGACACACATGCCAGCCGGGAAAGCTGGATGCAGCTGCCTGAAGACCGGCAGGTCCACTCCTGGGTGTCGACCCCAGAGCAACTCTCCCCCTTGTGCACAAGAGACCTGGACGGGATGGGCACTGCAGGTGAGGAGACGGAAACAAGTTGCAGAAAGGTAGCGTGAAGAAGCATTTACAGCATACGCCTGCGCATACAAAGTGAAAGCACATGGTTGCCCACCAGGACCCAGACAGACTTGACAGGGGTTACAGAAGGGAGGAAGGACTGCAAAAGGGGCAGCTCAGGGCTCTTGTTGTGTCCAGATCATTTTATTTCCTTAAAAATAAATTGAGGCAAATACAGCAAAATGTTTACAACTACTAAAACTGGGTGGTGGCTATTTTTTTTGCATTAAAGCACAGATAAAGCATGCATGCTATAGCACAATTACTGATTTTATTTTATTTTATTTTTTTGGTGGGCCGCGCCACCCGGATTGTGGGATCTCAGTTCCCTGACCAAGGACTGAACCTGGACCATGGCAGTGAGCCCAGAATCCTAACCACTAGGCCACCAGGGAACTCCCTACAATGACTGATTTTATTCTATTTTATTTTACTGATAAGTGAAAGAAAATACTGCCATTTTCCATCTTGGTCCAGGGAACTGAAATACAAGCAAAATCTGCTATGAAGAAAGTTAGGGGCAGGTGGGGAAACAAATCATTTTGTAGCTAAGAAACTGGGTCAACAAATACTTAACGAACTGGCCAACGTTAGGTATGAGTTCAACATAAGCAGAGGGAAAGACGGGAATCATGCCTTCCCTGGTAACCTCCCTGAGCGCAAATATTTCTGAAATGACATCTGCCATTCACAGGCCCCAAAGGAGGCATCGTTTGAGAAGGGGAAAGAGACAAGGCCTACCTTGTTTCTGCCTGTGTTCTTGAAGGCCCGGTGGATGTTAAGCAGGGTGACGTGATCACCCTCGCTGGATATGAACTTTTTCCGCACAGCCTGCACTTCATCCCGCCGGGAGGGGGGCGTGTAGAGAACGCTGTCCACTGACAGCAGGGAGATGATGGTCAGTATCTCCTCTGTGCAGTGGAATTTGGGGGACAGGAGGATGGTCTGCAAATCACAATTAAAAACAGTGTAAGCCTAGTTTTCTCCTGGCTTCTGAATAAAGTATTTCCATATATTGCTTTTGCAGCTTCCCTTGTAAGGCCTTAAGGGCCAGGTGTTTCTAAAACCATGACTACGTATGTTATTTTACTTTCTGTAAAACAGAGGGCTGCCTTCCCCGCATGATCCCATGTGGGTAGGGCTCATGACTTAATATGGCTTGAATCCCACACTGAGCGTAAGTCAGAGTTAGGCACTAATAAGTAGGCGTTAATAATTATTTAAGAGAAAAAGTGAAGATTAATCTAGAAGCACTGGGTTAAGGAGTCTCCTCTGGGATGGCTGACCCGTAACACACAGAAAGGGGACTGAGGAGAGGATATCATTTACTTTGGCAAATTTGGGTTCTAACGGGAAAGCCGCCATCTTTCTTCCTATTGGAGTCAGGGTGAGCTGGCCGTCTTTGTTTTCAAGGGCACCCAACAGCTCCAGCTGGGCGATGGCTGCCTGAACGTGATCTAAAGAAAGACATAAAAAGGAGTCGAACATTCAGAACAGGACGAAGCTGGAGCTAGTTCATTACTTCAGGGCACTTGTGAGAAGCCTACGTCAAACCACAGCAAAGACCACAGCCACACTGTCCCCATGAGGTGCTTTTCAAAGCTGTTAAGCACAACATTGTCTTCAGCTCAACTCTCTTTAAATAGTGGCCTGCAATTTGGCAATATGTGTGTAAATCTGAAACCCAGCAAAGTTACACTTACGAATTTCACCCCTAGATATACTCGGACATCGTACAGGGACCTGCATCTCCAGATGCACACACGCAACAATGGAAATACCAGGTGCCTCAGAGGCCCCTGGTGAGAAAGACACTATTTACTATCTTATTCTTTTTAAATTTGAACCATGAAAATGCACTGCCTATTAAAGAATAAAGATGCAATTCTAAGAATGTAATAAATATCTACACAGAGGGGAAATGATCTGTAAAATACATTAAGTGAAAAAAGCAATGTACCACACATCTATGGTCAACTAATCTATGACAAAGGAGGCAAGGATATACAATGGAGAAGACAGTCTCTTCAATAAGTGCGCTGGGAAAACTGGACAGCTACATGTAAAAGAATGAAATTAGAACACTCCCTAACACCATACACAAAAATAAACTCAAAATGGATTAAAGACCTAAATGTAAGACCAGACACTAAAAAACTCTTAGAGGAAAACATAGGAAGAACACTCTTTGACATAAATCACAGCAAGATCTTTTTTGACCCACCTCCTACAGTAATGGAAATAAAACCAAAAATAAACAAATGGGACACTTAAAAGCTTTTGCACAGCAAAGGAAACTATAAACAAGACTAAAAGACAACCCTCAGAATGGGAGCAACTATTTGCAAATGAAACAACGGACAAAGGATTAATCTCCAAAATATATAAACAGCTCAAGCAGCTCAATATTAAAAAAACAAACAACCTAATAAAAAAATGGGCAGAAGAACTAAATAGACACTTCTCCAAAGAAGACATACAGATGGCCAAGAGGCACATGAAAAGATGCTCAACATCACTGCAAATCAAAACTACAATGAGGTTATCACCTCACACCAATTAGAATGGGCATCATCAGAAAATCTACAAACAACAAATGCTGAAGAGGGTGCGGAAAGAAGGGAACCCTCTTGCACTGTTGGTGGGAATGTAAATTGATACAGCCACTATGGAGAACAGAATGCAGGTTCCTTAAAAAACTAAAAATAGAACTACCATACGACACAGCAACCCCACTACTGGGCATATACCCTGAGAAAACCATAATTGAAAAAGACACACGCACCCCAATGTTCACTGCAGCACTATTTACAATAGCCAGGACATGGAAGCAACCTAAATGCCCACGCCAGACGAATGGATACAGAAGATGTGGTACATCTATACAACGGAATATTACCCAGCCATAAAAAGGAATGAAACTGGGTCATTTGCAGAGACGTGGATGGACCCAGAGACTGCCATACAGAGCGAAGTAAGTCAGAGAGAGAAAAACAAATATCGTACATTAACGCATATATGTGGAATCTAGAAAAATGGTACAGGTGAACGGGTTTGCAGGGCAGAAATAGAGACACAGATGTAGAGAACAAACACGTGGACACCAAGGGGGGAAAGTGGCGGGGGATGGTGGTGGTGGGACAAAAAAAAAAAGAAAAAGCAATGTGCCAATGTCTATCGGTAGGAGAAGGATAAATGCATTTTGGTTTATTCACAGACTAGAACAGTATTTAGTAATGAAAATGCATCAGACATAAACCTTATAAAACATGATGAACGAAAAGGGAAGGTCACTGGGAAATCGAGGCATAAACATGCCAACCGAAACAATGCACACGCATGGAATAAAATATTCAAGAAAAGCGAGGGGTTCACGGACAAAACCTGGGAGGTGGTTAACTTGAGGTGGGGAGTGTGTCAGCCTCTGGAGGCTTTGCAGCCCTGGTGACGGATGCGCAGGTGTGGCTTCGATATTTCCACCTGACAGGAATGTGCCTCGTTTGTATGTAGAGATTTAGCAAGAGAAAGAAAAAAAAAGTGTAGAACAGTGCACAATGTGTGTTGCTATTTGTGTTTTAAAAAGAGACTATATGGAATTCCCTGGCGGTCCAGTGGTTAGGACTACACGCTCTCACTGAGGAGGGCCGGGGTTCGATCCCCAGTCAGGGAAATAAGATTCCGCAAGCTGTGCAGCCAAAAAAAAAAAGCAAAGTTGATCTCAGGCTTGAAGGCTGGTGCCTTTGCCCTTGGCCTGTTTCTGGAAGAAGTGCTGGAAAGCTGCGTGAAAGGCCTGTATGTGCTGTTGCACCTGGGGCTGGAGATGCCGGACCACAACCCTTTCTGCAGGCACCCCGGTCTGGGAGGAGGATGGAATATACGTGTCCAAGGACTGATGAGGTAAAATTCATATGAGAAATAAATAAAAGACTATATGTACTTGCAAAGATTTTCTCTAGAAGACACTGGGAAATGTTCAGTGGCTGCTGTAGAGGAGGGAAACAGATCACGGAGGGGCCCCGTATGCGCATCGGTGGCTTTTACTTTTTTAACCAGTTGCGCTTCTTCACTTAGGGAAAAAAAAGGAAACGGTACATGTTGGAGAGATGCCAAGTACTAAGCTACCATCGTTAAAACTCCCCACCAGTTTTTCTTTCACCATGGAGAGATTATCAGTGAGGGGCAGGGACCCATCAAATTCCGGTCAAAAGCAAAGAAACTTAATCTTTTCAGTGCTTTTGCTGGCAAAAGTACGATTTTGTTAGGTTTACAGTATCCTGTGGACCCCCTCGACCACCTTCACTGGTTCCTGTGGTCTCAGAACCCGCCCGTGACGCCGCCGATTCCGCACCGCGATGGTGCTGACGGCACCGCATCTTTCATGATTGAGTTTCTTCTCTGAGAGTTAAGGTTGTTATCCACCAAATTATACTGAACAAAAGGAGACCGCTGGAAGACCTGGTTGGCTTTTTTTGGAGTCCACTGGGTGTTTTTGTCCATTCTGTACACCTTCCCAAAGACCCCACTTACCTGGAGATGGTTTGGACATGAAGTCAAAGGTGAGCACGTTTGGGACTTTCATTGCGAGGAGCTGCAGCATCACGCTCGCCAGGTTACACCTGCAAGTGTGAGAGACGCAGGTGGTTCACGCAGGTGTTTCTGACCCCCCCCAGCCGGCGAGGCAAGAGCCGCCCACCAAGGAGAGTCAGTTGGAGGATACGGGCCACAGGGACAGGAGCCTCGGGACAAAGGGCAGGTGTGGGAGCCCCTTGGGCCTGCCTTTGGATCTCTGGCACCGTCATCTTCTCAAACTTCTCAAACTCATCCTCCGTGTACAGCCGGTAACAGATACCACTGTCCTCTCTGCCAGCCCGTCCTGTGCGTTGCCAGGCCTGGGTCTTTGACACCCGCTGCACAGCTAACACCTCCAGGCCACTGTCTGGTGGGAGAATGGCCCGTGTTAGTGCTTTGCTCGTCACATGAACAAACTCTGCAGCGTGGGCAACGAGAGGCACTGCTCAGAGCGCTGGGGACCCTTTCTATGACACACGGGGACCCTCTCTGTGACACACGAGTCCAGAAGAGCTCCAGCCTGCGTCAGAAAGCACGAAACCAGACCGGTCTGTGGTGAAGCAAGGCCTTTGCTGTGAACACCGTGTGAAACCTGTGACTAAAACATCACAAGGACCTTGTGCTTAGGGCAGGGACCCAGGAGGGTAGATCTCAGAGGCCTTGGCTTCGATCACAGGTGACCACAACCCCGTTTGCCCAGGACTAAGGGGGTCTCCTAGGACTTGGGACTCTCGGTGCTAAAACTGAGACAGTTTCCAGCAAACCAGGATGGTTGGTCCCACATCAAACGGTGACCCGAAAATGAAATGCCTCCAGTCCCCTGTGTGTTGCATCCTCCCTCCTGCTCTATTATAAAAGAGAGACAGTGTAATGCTGTTACGCCTAGGAGTGAATGAGACCGATTTTCTTATAAAGGTGTATTTTGTGCCAGGCACTGGAGAACCAAGCCCTTTCACATACGTGGTCCCCAGAGACACACATGAATGACAGCACCCTTGAAGGCTTAGCAGTGCATTTCAATTAAATGTTCGGGAGCCATAATTTCAGCTGCCTCAAATCCTCTGTGGAGTAAAGCAAGGTAGAAAACAGACCTGAATAAAAATGACTTCAAGCAAGCTGCCCACCACACACACTCAGAAACAGCTAGTGCCTCGCCCCAGCCTGGGGGGTCTGCTTCCTTCCTGGGAGACTGGAGGTCAAACCAGCCTAGCTCAGATGTCATTTCCGAGGAAGCCTCTGATGTGGTATCAGGCTGTCCCTGGCCTGAGAGCCATCATTCTCGCCTACCTTCTGACGGGGTTTCATGCCCTCTGTCCAGGTCCCTGACCATCTGTCCCCAAGTGTGCCACATCTGGGCTCTTCTTTCCTGCCTCACGTGCCTTTCTGGCCCTGACTGCTGGACTGTGGTGCCTGCCACCCAAATCTCAGGTAGTTATGGACATGAGACAATCATTTGGGGGATACTGGGACACAGGCTGCTCACTACACAGAGAAGAGACATCAGGAGCTACAAATTCTCACCGGGGTTATACTTCTTTGCTTTAACCATGCCCGTGTCAACTACATATTTTATTCCTGTAATGGTTATGGAGGTTTCAGCGATGTTGGTTGAAATGATCACTTTGCGACAGCCCTAAAAGGAGGAAGAAAACCAAAGAGCCATATGACACACATATGATTCAGAAGTTTTAAAACACATTCCTCACCGTGAATTGTCACAGCTCACTCATGATCAAGAAGAGATGACTTTTTTATTATGACAGTCATTAATATTGATGGCTGATCACTAAATTGGGCAGGGTAGGGTGTGGGGAATGTTTCAGTCTTAAAAGTTTATTTTAAGGCAATTAGATGTGGTGGGAGAGGCACAAGATTCAGAAGCAGGTAGATGTGGGCTGGAGTCCTGGCCCTGCCAGCTACCTCCTGTGCCCCTTGGGCAACTGTCACTTCAACCCTTGGGATCTCGGAACTGGGATGGTGACCCACCTTGTGGTTCTCGAGAGGATGAGAGACAGTATGTGTCAAGTGCTGGCACAGTGCCTGGCACAGCATGGGCACCCAAGAAATGTATTGTGGACACATGCTCTGTTAACGGTGGACCTTGGAAGAGTCACTCACTGAGCCTCTGGCTTCTGCCTTTGCCTCTCCCTCACCCCCGGACAGCTGTCTCCCTGTTCTGACCATGGGAGAGCCGTGTCTGCAGCCCCGCATTACCCTCCTGCGTCTTTCCAGTTCATGTGTGTGGTCCCTGCACATCCCGTCCCACACACCTTATCTGGAGCCTGCTGACAGGAGCACAGGCCCCACTGGTGCATCCGTCTGGGTACCCAGGGATGGGGCTGGACAGAAGGGGGGCACTCACCTTCGGGGCCCCCTGGAAGACGCGCAGCTGCTGGGCGTAGGGCAGGGAGGCATATAGCGGAAGGACCAGCATGGAGGGGCAGCCGTCGGGGAGGTGTTTGGCAATGTCCCGGCAGGTCTTGCTCATGGCTTCGATCTCCTCCTGCCCAGTGAGGAACACCAGGATGTCCTGAGAGGAGGGGGCTTCCTACAGAAAAGGCAGAGTGGGATTACTAGGCTTTGACAGGAGCACAGGTTGCACAGAACAATGGTCACTGATGAACTTTCCCAGTTATTTTTCTTAACTCTGGAGACATAGATGAGCCTAAACATCAGTGTCTCCCCTGGGAGGAAACCCACATGGAGAATGCACGGCTGCAACTTACTCGAGTTAGCCAGCTATGTTTAAAAATGAATTAAGGAGATTTTGAAGAAAGATGGCCAGATTGCTGTTGCAGCGAGAACAATGCCATGAAAAGCACAATCAGGCAAGCAAATAAAATCTGCATGAAGCTGCCTTCCTTTCATAATCATCTTGAAAGATGGAGCTGACAAAAGAGACAACTTGGGGAAATCCTGATCCACGGAAATGGCCGGAAGCACTCATGCTGGAAGAGGAGCCCTAATTGAATGAGGCCATCAAATGTACTTTCATAAACCCCCAAAGCACGCTGACCTTGGACAAGGGATTGAGATCCCAGGCTTAACTGGATACTTCACCTCGCAAAGGGAAGAACATGTAAGTGTTAACTGCACACCCACTGATCCAATCTTTCTTTGACGTCTGTTCAGATACATTAATTTGTAGAGTACTTGTTTGGCAAAATAATTGAAAAATGTTTAACAATTATTAATATGTTGTGCATGTGCATGTGTCTATGTATATATATACATATATATGTGTCTATGTATGAATACATATATCTATTATCTATGTATTTATATGTGTGCATGTAGTTTTTTAGCCCGGTATTAATAGGACAAATGTTCAGAGGTGCACACACACAGAAAGGATAAAATCTTTTTTTTTTTTTTTTGGTGGCGTGGCTTGTAGGATCTTAGTTCCCTGACCAGGGATTGAACCCGGGCCCCAGTAGTAAAAACCACCGAGTCCTAACCACTGGACTGCCAGGGAATTCCCAGGATAAAATCTACAACAGTCAAAGCTTCATCAAGGGGAGGACTCATTAAAGCCACCATGTAACCTGAGGGCACTGCAGGCACTATTCATGAAAAATCCTCATCTCAAGTTTGCTTTTAGTAACTAAACAAGGCAGACTGACCTTCTCCAAATACTATCAAAATGACGGTGAAGGTATAAGCCCAGGAAGACAGGGTTCCAACCCATTTTTGAAAGATGAAGAGACGGGGCGGGAAGTGAGTGACTTGGCCGGGCAGAGGGAGTCCCGACGGGGGAGCGTGCAGACGGGGTGGTAGGAAAGTGGTGCGCCCACTTCCCTGGAGAAGCCACAAAGGCTCGGGCTCAGAGCGAGCCTTGGGGGCTTGTGCCAGCATGAGGACCCAAGTGTCAGCTGGAAGTCTGAGTACAGTGTGGTTGAATCCCCAAGTCCCCTCCTCCACCCGATGCGGCCAGGAGGCTGGGCAGACACGGGGTGCCGTCATGGGATTCAACACAGGAGGATGGTAGAGGGAAGAGCCAAGAGGACAGCTGTGCGGAGGCCTAGGAGAGCAACCTGTTTGGAGCAGAAAAGCAGCATAAATAAAGGACCCGGGAAAAAATGGATTGTGTTTCAACACATAAAAAATATTCATGATTGGCATGTGATAGATGTTAGAACCCTCGGGGAAAAATTGGCCGTACATACATAGAAAACTTGTACGACTGTGTGGAACAAGGCACTGTGATGGTGCACAATGTAGGGTCGTAATATTGTAAACACTGATACTTGATTTAAAAAGACATTCTGGGGCTTCCCTGGTGGCGCAGTGGTTAAGAATCCGCCTGCCAATGCAGGGAACACAGGTTCGAGCCCTGGTCCAGGAAGATCCCACATGCCGCGGAGCAACTAAGCCCGTGCACCACAGCTACTGAGCCTGCGCTCTAGAGCCTGCGAGACACAACTACTGAAGCCCGTGCACCTAGAGCCCGCGCTCCGCAACAAGAGTAGCCACCGCAATAAGCCTGTGCACTGTAACGAAGAGTAGCCCCCACTTGCCGCAACTAGAGAAAGCCCGCGCGCAGCAACAAAGACCCCAATGCAGCCAAAGATTAAATAAATAAATAAATAAATAAATAAAAAAGACATCCTGATATAATCTTTTTTTTTTTTCGGTACGCGGGCCTCTCACTGTTGTGGCCTCTCCCGTTGCGGAGCACAGGCTCCGGACGCGCAGGCTCAGCGGCCATGGCTCACGGGCCCAGCCACTCCGCGGCATGTGGGATCTTCCCGGACCGGGGCACAAACCTGCGTCCCCTGCATTGGCAGGCGGACTCTCAACCACTATGCCACCAGGGAAGCCCCTGATATAATCATTTTGAGAGGATGTTTCAGAAACAGGAAAGTAACATCCAAGGGAAACAGTTAAGAGATTGAAGGTGTACCTTCAAGAGCAGGATCTGGGCTGGGAAAGTGAAAGCAGCTCCTGTTTTTTTTTATGAGCTTTTTAGAACTAAGTACTTGACTTTTTAAACTTTAAACTATACACCCATCACTGAGCTTAAAATAAAAATTAGCTTTCAAAAGTTGGCTTCTAGATTTTTTCAGAAACTTAATGGAAAGGTAAAAACAGTCGATTTTATACAAATTAAATCAAAAAATGAGATTTAATCACTCAAATTTTTAAGTAAATGTTTAATAAAATGAAAAAAATATTTGAAATGTTTCTCTGTACAGTTTTTTGTTTTTTTTAAAAAGAAAACTCTAAATTGCAACCCATTATTGGTTAATACACCAACTTTTTTTTTTTTTTTTTAATGAGACAGAAAATACCAGAGGACATCACATGTAGTAAAAGGAGACTGTGTTTCCTAAGACTCACTTCAGTTCTACACACTGTGTCCTGGGTTGCAATATAAAATGTGTGTCTTACTGGGGGTTCCAATCAAAATATGCTCGCAAGCCACTGCTTTAACATATGGACGTTTTCCGGCTCAGCTGAGGAAAGATGCTGGTCAGGGTTGAATTAGTCTTTTTTAGACAAAGAAAAAGACACTGAGAAAAAGGATAAAAACGTGCATATGGCCAACGAACTCCATATTCAGCTTCAGGACACAGCTCACAAAATGGTTTCGTTCGGCAGCTTTTCTTTTTTTTTTTTTTTTTTTTTTTTTTTTTTTTTTTTGCGATATGTGGGCCTCTCACTGTCGTGGCCTTTCCCGCTGCCGGATGCGCAAGCTCAGCGCCCATGGCTCACGGGCCCAGCCGCTCCGCGGCACGCGGGATCCTCCCGGACCGGGGCACGAACCCGTATCCCCTGCATCGGCAGGCGGACTCCCAACCACTGCGCCACCAGGGAGGCCCGGCAGCTTTTCTTTTCAAGGCTGAATGCTCGAGGTCAAACAGGCCTTCCCAGGAATCTGCACCCCAGTGCCTACCTGGTGGATCTGGAAGACGGAGACCAGGGCCGCGTGCAGGTAATCGTGCTGGGGCTGCTTGGTGTAGAAAATCTGGATCGGGTGCTGCCGGCCCTCCAGGTAGAGGACGGGGGCTCCGCTGAAATACTGGGAGAACAGGTCCACGTCCATCGTGGCCGACATCACAATCACCTGTGTGCGAGACAGGGGCGGAGGATGGGGACAAGCTTGGACCAGCCTTTTTGTGCCCCCGCTGAGCCCTGAAGGCCGCCGAGGAGGCGTGCGCCCCCCATGCCCACTGCCCTGGGTCCCTCAGCAGCACAGGCTGCACCTACTTTGAGAGGCAGCTTCCCCAGCTCCTTTCGCCTCTTCTGGGCAGCTTTCACCACCCCAAAGAGCACATCCGTGTGGACAGTCCGTTCATGGGCTTCATCCAAAATGACGCAGCTGTACTTCCGAAGCAGGGAGTCTGAAATGGCCTCGCGCAGAAGCATGCCATCCGTCAGGAACTTGATCTTGGTGTCCTCCGAGGTGACATCGTCGAAGCGCACCGTGTAGCCAACCTGTGTGAAGAGACCACTCATTCACTCAGTGAACGTGTGTTCAGCACCCAGTGTATCCGGCACGGGGCCAGGCGCTGGTGCTATCGCAGCGAACAGGACCAACTCCGACCCTGCCCTGCTCCCAAGGCAATGGACACACGCCTTCAACTGCAATGATGATAAACACTACAAAGAATTTAAAACTAGCCTCCTCCTCCCAGCTACTTTATAGTTTCAACTGAAGCTATGTACACATATGAAAAGATGTCCAAGATGTTTTTAAGTCAAATGAGTAGACACCCACACAAACACGAATAAATCTGACTTACATACAGTTCTGGGACTCATTCTCAATACCCACCTATATACTAGAAAAATGCTTACAAGTTTGTAGAAAGATATGTAGATAAAAGACTTAGCAGATGTTACCGAAGCCTTGAAAGTGCTCAGGAAGGGCTTCCCTGGTGGCACAGTGGTTGAGAGTCCGCCTGCCGATGCAGGGGACACGGGTTCGTGCCCCGGTCCGGGAAGATCCCACACGCCGCGGAGCGGCTGGGCCCGTGAGCCATGACCACTGGGCCTGTGCGTCCGGAGCCTGTGCTCCGCCAACGGGAGAGGCCACAACAGTGAGAGGTCCACGTACCACAAAAAAAAAAAAAAAAAAAAGCGCTCAGGAAAAAAACAGCTAATTTATCCAAGTTGCCAACAGATTTTGAAAGCAAAGCAAGTGGGACTGACAGACCCTCTGATCTCTTAGGAACTGGTAAAGAACTCTGAGAGAGGCCGAAACAATTGTGGCAAGAAAGAAGCTTGAGATGTGCAAGTAGTCTTGTTCAGAAAAATAAAAGTCAGGAGGCCGGGAGTGGGGGTCAGGGGACCAAGAACTGTCAGTAAAGAAGGAAGTTAGGTACCAGCTTCCCGAGTTCGGTTCTCTTCTCGTCTGAGACTCTGGTAGCCAGAGAGATAGCAGCCACTCGACGAGGCTGGGTCACGGCAATGATGGCCTGGCGGCCAATCCCCGCTTCATACAGGTACTGAGGGATCTGCGTTGTCTTCCCAGAGCCAGTTTCCCCTAGGAAAGAAAAAAGTCTCATTTAAATGCAAACTGACGTGCCCCAGAGAGCCCACAAGCCACAACTACTGAGCCTGCACGCCACAACTACTGACACCCCCGCGCCTACAGCCCGTGCTCAGCAACAAGAGAAGCCACCGCAATGAGAAGCCCGAGCACCTCAAGGAAGACCCAATGCAGCCTAAAAAACAAAAATGGTCCACATCAAAATTTAAAAAAAAATGGTCTACATCAAAATTTTAAAAAAATGCAAACTGAAACATACTTCACAAAACAGATCAAAGTCAGAAGGAAAAGATAAGAAAATACTCTAAGCTGATAAAGCCACGGGAAAATGTGTAGCCACATGTACTGCTAGCAGAGTGTTAATTGGGATTGTTTCTTGGAGGGCCACATTATACTAGGAAAATATTTAAAATGTTGTACCCTCTGACCCACAATTCCACTTGCAGGACTTGATTCTAAGGAAATAAAGATGTGTATAAAAATACAGCTTCAAAAGAGTTTTAGTCAACTTTGCTCATGACACCCCAAAATTAGAAACAATGAAAGCGGTCAGCAACAGTAACCAGTATAGTAACAACATACAATGGAATACAAACGTTATATAAAAATGTCCTACTTTTCAAAGGGATAAACGACATGTAAATGCACTGCCATGAAGAGACATCTGCTCCTACACTGCAGCCACAGCTAACTCCTCACCGTTCCCCAGCCGGCTGCCTCCTTTCAAACCCTCTGCTTTTGCCCACACTATTATGAGATATCTGCCCCCACGCTGCCTGCGTGACAAACTGTACAAGATGAATTAGACCTCAAACTCTCTCCCCAGGGGCTGCGCCGCCTCCTCTGTGTTCCTTAGAGCCTTGTTCATCTCGTCCATCACTGATCACCCTACACTGTGTGAAAGCATTTAAACGTTTCTGTTCCCCTCCAATATCAGAGGCCCCTGGGGGGCAGAGATAGCCTGTCCGTCTCTTCCATGTACTTGAGCATCTGCATACAGTAAGCACCCAACCTTATTTTCTACCCTCCTGTGTTCCCTTCCCAGTGCCCAGTCAGAACAAAGAACTGTAAACCTGTGCATCCCTCCCCCCACGGCTACCAGTACCCCTCCCTGACCTCACAGAGTCCTACTGTCCCGTGGTTCTTCCATTTTCTCCCCTCTGACTGCTCATCCTTCCTGACCCGGTCACGAATCATGGACGAAGAATCTGATTATTCTACACTCCTCCTGCTGAGCTCATCAGGCAAAACCCAAACCTGGATCAATGTCTCCCTGTCCATCTTTTTTGCTCCTACACCAAGAAACTGAGCGTTGCTATAGTAAAATAACCCAACTGTGCTGATAATGACCTGAGTTTGCTGTGGGGCTAAATGCACCTGGGCACCAGCATCACCGCTGATCCTTGTTCTTGTTTCTGCAGCCCTCCTTTTGTCCCCATCCTCCCCAAGGACCCTGTAACTCCCATCCTCATCAGAGCTCCCGTCCCCACTTCATAGAAAAGTGAAGTCCTCAGAGGTGATCTCCCGCCACTTCCCCCTGCAAGCTTTTCTGCAGTCACCCCCATTCTTACCTCCTTTCTCCAGCCCCCCAGCCTCTTGGATATCCATCCTCCTCTTGGATATCCAGGCCCGCTCTGCATCTAGCCCTTGTTGCCAAGAGCCCCCGTTCCCCATGCCCTCTGTCTCTGCTCTATTAGTGCCCGCTTTGCATCTTCAGCCTCCTTCTCTACTGAGTTCTTCCCCTGAACCTATGAATATCTGCAAGTTCCTCTAGGTCCCCCTCCTTTTTGTCAAAACAGAAGCCTACTCCCACTGCCTTCATGCCCTCACCTCCTATCTACTCTTCAGCCCAGTGACAAATCAGCTCCCAGAGCTCTGCCGAAACAGCGCTCAACTCGATCCCCAATTGATACCTCGCATCCAATCCAGTGGGCACTTTTTGGGCCCCTATTTTCTGGTCCCTATTTTCATTGTTGCATCTGTTCACTCCCTTCCTCTTACAACTCCGTTCCTTAGGTTATCAGCTCTCCTGGATCTCCTTCACCTCTTTGGAGGCTCATCCTCTCGGTCCTTCAGGAGCTCCTCTTACGTAAACGCTGGGGATCAAAGCCCCTTGCAATTGGTCCCCGGCCCTCAACTCTGCCTCTTAATTCGTGCACCGGAAACTGCTACTTCGTCAGACCGGACCGTCTCTCGCCTCCACTTTGTCTCTTATGCTGCAGGCTCTCTTCTCTGCGTCCAACGCCTTCCTCCCCGACTGGCTCAGATCCACTCTTCTAAGCTCCCAAAGTTCCCGCTGCGTCCCTCTACCCTTCCGCACAAAAGGCGAGTCTTTGCCGAAGGCGCGGGTCACTCGCACCGGCTGTGAGCACCTCCAGAACGGGATTGTCTGAATCTTCCGAGGCCCCTCTCCTGGCCCCGAACAGAAAAGGCAGTCAGGTTTGTTGTAGAAACGAGTGAAAGACGGGGAGAAACACCTAAGAAAAGCTGTTCTCGCGGAGCTCGAACGGGGAGAGAGGAAGGACGCGCCGGCGCGGCCACTCACCGAGGAGGACGGCGCTGTCCAGGTTTCGGAGCTGGGCCAACAGCTGCCCCCGCGCCTGGAAGATGGGCAGACTCCGGCGCTGCAGCTCCACGGCCTCAGGGTAGGGGCTGACCGAGGGCTGGGCCAGGGGTGGCTGCTGCCTCCGGCCTCCTCCTCCTCCTCCTCCTCCGCCGCCGCCGCCGCCGCCGCCCGCGGTCAGCAGCATCACCACTCGCCGCCCGTGAGGGCAGGACCCGGCGCGCCTCAGAGGCCCGGCGCCCGGCCGGAATCTCTTGCCCGGCGGGAAGCCCGCCTCCTCGGGCATGTCGGGAGGGCAACACGACTGGAGGCGCGAAAGCGGGCAGCTCCTGCCGCTCCCGGGAGCCGACAGCTAGCGCGCGCCGCCCCTTCCCGCCACGTGCTGGTGGCTCCCAGCGACGCCGCTGATATCACCGCCACCCGCAGCCTTTAGAAAGGGGACTCCAACTCCCAGCATGCACTGGCAGCGTGAACAGGCTTTCATTTCCCGAGGGCGGGGAGAGCGGGTCCGAGGTACAACCGGAAAAAGTCCGGAGCGACAACAGTGAAGGACTGGGTGTACGGTTCCGTGGGTCCTTAACTTTGGATAACAACCATGGTTTTCTTGTCCTGCTAACAGTATTTCCTTCCAGTAAACACGCGTTTCCTTTTCTTTGCCACAATAATAGTCGCTCTTCAAGGAAAGTATTTAATTTTGTAAAATTAACGAGGTGCACACAAATATTGGTTATTTAATCCTCCAAATAACTGATGTTATAGAGTAGATACTGATATCATCCCCAATTTACAGATGAAGAAACTGAGCCTCTGAGATGAGTCATTCAGATGTCACAAAATCTGAATGTTGAGGATACTGGTGATCATCTTGTGTCACAGAAAAAGAAAGATATATATTCTATGACAATCATACATTCTCCTCAGAAAGTTGCTATCCCAAAGGACATGGTCTGCTCCTGTAATACAAGCAGGGAAAGA